TATGTGTATGTGTGTGTGTGTGTGTGTGTAAACGCCTCTATTGGACTCCTTTGTTGACTTCCTGAACATAGTGACATCATGATGTAACACTTGCGCTTCTATTGGCTAGAGCTTGTGATCGGTTGACCAATCACAACAGAGCCGGCCAGCTAACCAATCAGAGCAGACTGGGCTCTGGTTTCAGACAGAGGGTGAAAAGAGGTGCTGCAGCACAGGCAGTATGAGAACAATATAGAGCTTTTTGAACATTAAAGCATGGAGACATGTAGAGACACTACATACTGGTATACACCTGAACATCAGCAGGAGAGGAGGACTCTTTAAAGTAGAGACACTACATACTGATATACACCTGAACATCAGCAGGAGAGGACTCTTTAAAGTAGAGACACTACATACTGATATACACCTGAACATCAGCAGGAGAGGACTCTTTAAAGTAGAGACACTACATACTGATATACACCTGAACATCAGCAGGAGAGAACTCTTTAAAGTAGAGACACTACATACTGATATACACCTGAACATCAGCAGGAGAGGACTCTTTAAAGTAGAGACACTACATACTGATATACACCTGAACATCAGCAGGAGACATCATGAGTGCTATGATGTCGGACAAAGGGCTGTACCATAAATCATTTCAGCATCAACAGACGGTGGATGAACAATAGTCACGTTGCGTTTCATAACTTACATAACGAGATCCTTTTTGTGTACTGCAGCTCTGTATGAATCTCAATTATCAGCTAGTATTCCTCTTCATTATTTCTCCATTATTGAAGCTGCCCCAGCCTTGTTAACCCCGAGTCCCGCTGCACTGCATGCTGGGAATTCGTGCTATGCTGTCCTGTTATATATATATGTCACAGTTAGAGGTCACACTTTAACGCGGATGTTAACCCTCTGACCCTCTGACCCGCTGCTAACACATGGAATATAAACTGACCCGGTTTTAATTTAACATGCTATTGTCGCTGCAGAGAGAACTCAGATACGTGTTTCATGTTAAGTGTTACAGAGGCTACTTAAAAAGCGTAGAATAAGAAGAACTAGAGTAAAATGACCGTAGGGAACATTTTGGCAACTTAGAAACAGTTTGCTAATAGTGTTAAACAAACACAATTATAAGAAAATGTAGGATATAACTAGTCATTAAAAATGCCACTCAATTGAGTTGTTAATATGTTGTACCTAAACCAAAGAAATACATATTAACTACCATATTTAAAGAAGAATAGCTCAAAAAGCATTCAATAAGAGTACAGATGGAGGAGCATTACATATGTTCTTTATATTTATTTGAAATAAAGGGTCTTGTTTGTCATTCACGCAAAAATATAATCACTTAATATGATATAAAAGAAAGAAAAGTGGAAAATCTCCACATTTGAGAGGCTGAAATACAGCGTTTTCTTACATTTTAGCATTAAAAATGACTTGAATATTAAATATATAATCAGAAATGGTGGCTATCTGTAATAGCAGCATCTGTGGTTTACTGGTTGATCTTGATAAAGACTTAAATGCAGAATGAATTCCCTCACGGTTAATGTTGTTTCTGTCGGGCTATACTT